GTAGTGACAGAGCTGTAGAGCTGAGTAGAGAGCTCCAAGATCACCTTTTTTTCTCTGTTTTGAGCCTTTGGGTATATGCTTCAACCTTTTTTCTTGTGTTTTCATGTAAAAGATTAATTCTTGGCATGTTAAATGAGATGATTAATTAACCAACATGAACTCTAGCTAAAATGGGTCTAAATATGCATGTTTGAATGTCTGGTAACATAAGAAATGGAGTCTTGGAAGGATATCTGGATATGATATCTGGATATGGATATCTGGATATGATATCCGGATATGGATATCCGGATATTGACCCTGTGATATCCGGATATTGATATCTAGATATGCCCTCAAGGAATATATGGATATTCTGGGAAATTTGTAGTTTGAGTTGTTCTGTCCAAACATAAGCGTGGGTTTGGTTTTATGACCCTTAATTGGTTAGTGTGAACATCTGTATTAATTAACTAAGTTAGAACCACTTAGATTGAAGGATTATGGCTTTGAGAGAAGCCTAAAGTCATTAAACGAAAAAGGAAACGTTGTCCTAATGTAATGAATTTCTAGATTATGAATATTGATAATGTTTCTGGTATAAAGAGATTGTGGTTGTGCTGCTTGGTGACCGTGGACTCTTATGGACTCCTAGTTGGAATTGTTAGCTTGACCGGTAAGTTTTTGTGTCCTCGGTTTTACCTGTTGATGGTTTCACCATACCTCATGGAGGGGTGGTTTATATGCATGATGTGTTTTCCTGAAATTATGTGAATAATATTTGATATGCTATTAAGTTGTTTTATGAGTGCAAAGCCATATGATATATGGAGACATACAAGATGGTAACTCCGAGGGTGAGGTACAAGAGAGGAGTATAACACCTCGCAATTCTAAATTAAATATTAAAATATTAAATGAGGATTAAAGTGAAGGATTAGTGAAAATCCTGAAAATTAGGCCAAATACAAAGAAAGGGCAAAACGGTAATTAACCAACACGCATCCCTAGGAAGATAAAAAATGAGTAGAAGGTCTCAGATGGTAAAAATAACCCTAGAAATGGATTCAGAACGAAAAATTGAGTGGTTAGGCAAGTTTCAAAAAATTCAGTGAATAGTGTTTTTACCGGGTAAAAATACTACGGTACAGTTGCACCGTAAAGCGTGCCGATTGAGTTTTGAGCTCTAGGTTTTAAATATGAGTTATAAATGGTTTATAGAACTAGGGAATATGATTTCTGATAAAATTTGATGGAATTGAGTAAGTTTGGGGAAGCGTGTCAATGACGCGCGCAACAACTTAAAACAGCATTTTCTCCGAACGACCAGAAAGTTTCGGATTCATCTGATCAAGGGTGATTAAAAGACAATGGTTAATGTTAAAAATTAAAGTTTCTAAATAGGTTGTGAATTTACGGACGTTTAGTGAAAATTCGGATTAGTTTTAAATCGCGTGAGGTGACGGTGGGACCCACCCCACTTGAAATCACTTAAGACACATAAGCATTTCACTATTCATTGTCTTCTCTCTCCCCTTCTCCCCTCAAAGAAACCGTGACAGCCCCCTTCCCCTTCCATTTTCGTTTTTTGTTTGATTTCTTCATAACTTCATCAATTCTTAACCGAATCAGACGATTCTTGTCTTGAAATTCGATGGAAATCACCACCCGAACCCGTTCCACCGATTAGTTTCCCTTGAAACCCTCTCTATTGTGAGAAAAGAGCCATATACAGCCACGAATTTATTGGAGAATTTGTGATTTTGTGGTTGATTTCTTAAGCCATTGCTTGTGGAGTTCTACGAGGAGTCTTGTGACGTAATTGTGGGTAAGTTCCAACACCTCTCATGGTTTGATTTGATGATTTATTTTCATGAACCCTAAAGGGGGTTTTGTTGATTTGTGTTGTTAGAGAGCTCAAATAGAAAATGTGTATTAGATGATAATGTCTTAGAATGATGTGTTAGAGCTATAAATGCAATGAAAATTATTGATGAAAAATGTGAATTTTTAACTTAGAAAATTTTGAGGATATCATGACTTTGAGTTTGAAATTGTTGTTAGGACTGTATAATGGGATTGTGATATGGTTGTATGATGATATAATAGGATTGTATGAGGTGTGGAGTAGTTAGAATTGATGGAAATTCCTTGGGATTACACCATTGTGCAATTCGGCCATTAGACAAAAAGAGGGGAATTTATGTTGTTGAAATTGATTGGATGATGTATTATGTGTTATATGGTAATTAGATGGGTTGTGTGGTGGTTGGAAGGTTGGAAAACCAATAGAAAAATACTTGGTAGTGTTGAGTGTGTATTTGGACATAGAACAAAATATTAAGCAAAACGACATTTAAAAGACGTAAAATGAAAAACGGCACTTCATATGGCCTTTCGGCAACCTTAGGATGCCTAATAAAATGAGAAAGAAAATTTAGAAAAATAAAATGCAAATTTGCACTTGTATGGCCGAACCTACAAGGGTGTAGGGGAGGTTTTGACGTTTTTCGTATTCTGATAGGATTGTCGTGTACTGACTAGTCGTACATGGTTTTTGTAGGTTTCCGTACGTCGAATTGAACCCCGAACCGTGAGTCGGTGGATTGCCCTTGGTCCTGGACCAAGTGGGATTGAGGAATTCTGTTGAGTAACGAGTTTGGAGAGTATACTGCTGTGGAGCTAAGTGAAGAGGCTTATTAAGATAACCTCTTGGTACTGGGGCTTGATCCCCTTGTGTGTTCCACCATGCCCGTTGATGGTGATGGTAGGAAGTGTATGTAAGTAATGTAGAATAACATGATCATGCATTTATTATGGATGTTAGTGGTACACTAGATGTACCGAGTCTCTGGCCAGTAGACAGTTTGCCTTCGGGCGTTTCGGACTTCAACTGGATAGGTCTCCGAGAGGGAGTTCCAGTTGACCTAGGGTCGTGGTGTGTGATCCGGATATGAGCACACTAGGAAGTCTCGGGTGTATGTGGATAGGAGGGGTACCTTGGTTGGATGTTCTTGGAATACGCCTTGGATGAGACCCGTAGGCTTATATGCCGAGCCATTAGGCAGGACGTTGCATGGTATTGGTAGCTACCATTCCAGCTTCGTCGTATTTTGTATCCCTATATTCCCCCAGTTTCTCTAAATCCCTTGCTATATCTCGTTTTTCAAGATGTTATTGTATATTATTTATATGCATTGAAGTGAGCCATTGGGCGGAGTTTTCTCCAGAACCTCTAGGTTACTGAGATATATTCGTATATCTCACCCCGTCTTGGGGGGCTTTATTTCAGGAGGTAGCAGTGGCACAGGAGCGGCGGGCAAGAAGCCCGTAGGATGAGTCGTTGGAGGACTCTTTATATTTTTCATTTTGATGGCTATTGGGCCTAGACTAGACTTAGGGCATGAACATTCCATATGTATGTAGGAGGAGATTCATAGTCATATTTGTTCATGTCATTTTGCCTAAGTCTAGTTGTATATGTCATTTAAAGTTCATGTTTCAAGTTGTAATTTAAAGTTATGAAATTGTAAGTCGTAATATGTTGTAATTGTACATGGATACTTGATGTAATATGATGGAAGGGCTTTAGGCCTATTTTAGGATTATGATTATGTGAATGCTTAGAAAATACATGTAAATGGACTTTGATGATTGAAACGTATTAAGTATTAATCAAGTGAGCAGTATGATATGAATTGTGTAATAACTATAAACTGAGTTGGGTTGTAAGTCCCCCAAGGCATTGTTGGTCCTTGTGTGTGCCACCCATTGAATATTAGGTACATTTGAGGTCTTATAATACATTCACAATTTAGGGATTTTTGTTAAAACAAAGGAAACTCTGGCGAATTTTCTGTAGAATTGGCAGAATTTAGGCGAACTTAGGGAGATCATATCTCCCTCCACAAAGGTCCGATAGGGACGTGTCATACACTATTTTGAAGCTTGATATGTCCTCTATCTTGTGGTAAAATGTGATAGAATTATGGGTTGAACGTCAGCCTGGAGAAGGAAAATAGTGCAGACTGCCCATTTGCTCACTATACTTGTGGCAGTTCTGGACCGGTTTTGGGAAATTTATTACCGCTTCGTTTCTAAGTCAAATTAAGTGTATGATATGTAAAATTGAAGATTGAGGTGTCTAGTTTGTTGTATAAAATTTTGAGATCAATTGGTTGAGTGGATATTCTGCAGTAATTCGTGGAGTGAGGGATGTTTGGAGCTGTTTTCGGGTTGGCTGGCAGTTTTGCTTGTCCAACTTCAAACAGCGATATCTGGAGCAAACGAGATCAAAATAACTCGTGTGATGGCTGATTAGAAAGGTAATTAAGTCCCGTAAAAGATACTAAAAGATGAGACGAAAAAGAAGAAATTTGAGAGAATATAAATAAATATGCCGAACCATGTTCGGATAGATAGAAATCGTAAAATTGAGAAATTGGCTAAGTGGATTTATGGGGACCCCTTAGTGACTTGTATTAAGTAAAATAAGATATAAAAATAGTTTAAACAAGTATTCTGTAAGAGTTTACAGTTATGGTCACAACTTTTATTTATTACGCTTTTTACGGTTTTAAATGCTCGCGTGATAAACGAAAAAAGTTTACTCGCATTTTTAATATATGAATTGAGGTGATTGTAACTACACTTAATATCATAATTAATGTTAACAATACCGGTATACAAAGGGCTATTACATTTTATGGTATCAGAGCAGTTTTGTAAGGGAACTCTGATAATGTATAACTGTATTTTGTGTTGCATAGCTATCTGTGAACTGTTTATGATTAAAGTATATGTGATTCCTCAGTGTGGGTCTGATCAGCTCATTCCTTTGTGTTACATATACAGATATCATGAGTAGGGCATGAGGTCGCCGTGGAACTCGAGGTGCAGGTCGTCTAGCAGCACCAGATCATATTACTGCAGTTCTTAATGCTTTGCAAGAAGAGACTGCTGCAAATAGAACCATGACCGAGAACCTGATGAAAAATAATCAGGATATGATGCATGCCTTCATGAATGAGATGAGGGCAGATAGGACTCGGCATAGGAGGGACGATTCTCCTCCGCGTACGTCTACGGTGACTCCTACACCAACACCATCTTTTACGCCATCTGTTACTACTGATCCTACATATGTACCCCATACTTCTGCTGACCCGACTTCTGTTGCTCAGACATCTGGGGCTGTTGAACAAGTTGTTGACGATGCTGCAAATGAGCAAAGGCTCATATCATTTAGAAAACACAAACCACCCGCATTTCTGGGGTCAAAGGACCCGAAGGAGGTTACTACATGGCTGAGGGGGATGGACAAAATATTCCAGGTTATGAGGTGCTAGAATCCTCAAAAGTTATTGTATTCGGTGTATATGCTGGAGGGTGATGCCCACGAATGGTGGTGCAACGCATCTCGCCCTTTTACTATTCGGGGGGAAGAAATCACATGGGCCTTATTCGAAAGATTATTTCATGACGAGTATTTTCCCAGGGATGTTCGGGAAGCCAAGCAAGGTGAATTTGATAAATTGGTACAGGATACCATGACTGTTGATGCCTATGTGGCGAAATTTAATGAGTTGGTTAAGTTTGCAAACTACGGGGGTATGCTGCCGACTCCTGAGTTTTTATCTGCTAAATTTCAGAGGGGATTAAATGAGAAGATAGCAAAGAGAATGTCTAATACTGCCGTGAGAAATTTTGCTGATCTGGTTACACAATGCAAGAGAGTGGAGACTGTTTATAGTAGGTATCCTAAATCTACTGCTATTAAGGATAATGAGATCAAGAAAACAGCTAATTCTAATTCTTCCTGGAAGTATAATAAGGGTAAAGGTTTACTAGTGAAGCAATCTACTGATAGGTTTAAGAGGGGTGGGAACCCTAAGAGTGAAAATACTGATAAAAGTGAAGTTCCTTGGTCTAAGTGCGATACATGTGGGAAGATCCATGGAGGCACCTGTTGGTATAAACAAAATGTGTGTTTTAAATGTGGCAAGCCGGGCCATTTTGCTAATGAGTGTACTACTAGGAAGGAGGTAGCTGCAATGGTCCGGGTGACTGCAGAACCTCAGAAGGGAAATCGAATATATACCCTAGAGTCATTGAATAGAGGGGGAAACCCTCAGACTGGAAAAATGTATGAATTGAAAGAGTACTTCTTTCTAATGATTCATCTAGTATATTATGTGAATATATTTGCGTGAAGTATATAATGTTTGAAAAAGAATCAATGTATGTAAAATCTATAAACCTTATGTTAGTCTAAGTAATGTGAGTTGTTGCTTCATAACCACGAAGTGAAAATGTTATGATTCACAAATAAGTTAAGGTACCATTAAGGGAAAGAGATTATATGATTAGTGAAAGAGCTAATGTACAAATTAATGTGAGACTGTACGATTAGTGTATGAACTAATGTACAATAGCATTTAGAATGGCATGATTAGTGTAAGAGCTAATGTGCTATTGAGTTTGAAAATGGCATTATTAGTGTAAGAGCTAATGTGCTATTGAGTTTGAAACTTGCATGGTTAGTGGAAGAGCTAAAGTGCAATAGAAATTGAAACTTGCATGGTTAGTGGAAGAGCTAATGTGCAATAGAAATTGAAATTTACATGGTTAGTGGAAAGGAACATACCCAGGAAGTTATAATGAATTATGCATATGTGAAATATGTTTAGTATACCACTATTCCTATAATGAGGGTAGCCTCATGTGTTTATACACAACACATCTTGTCGTTAGATACGGATATATTATGATTGTTAGCTCTGTGCGGCTTATGTGCCCGGAGGGTATGGCTATCTCCGTGCGGATTATATTCCCGGAGACTCTTGTTATCTCTGCGCGAATTATGTTCCCGGAGACTGCTATTATGTTATATGAGGAATATGATACAAGGGAGTATCCTGCATCAATGTGACTGCTAGTGTAGGTGAGATGCCCTATGTAAAAACACAACAGGGATTCTGTCGTGTAAAGAACGCAGGATGTGATATCATGTAGCTTTAAGTGAACAGTAATATGTCAAATGGGATATAATATGTGAGACGTCAGGACAAGGTATTTTGAGGTATGATTTTTGAGCACTAGGGGATGTGTGTATGTGTACACCAAGTGTGGTGACATGAATTTTGGGGCCCACGAAATGTGTGAAGTTGATCGGGGGTTCTGCCTATGAGAAAGGATAGCGATTTGTTAATACTGATGAATTGAGTGAATGTTATATTAGAAGGGACTAATGAGGAAGAAATGTGCAGTTAAGATGGTGACCGAATGGCCTTTCATGAGAAGTTAGTTGTGATGGAATTAGGTGAAAATGTTTAATAAGGATCAGTAACTTAAATTATGATGATTAAATAAAGGTTGATAACTCGATGGAGTGATTTGGAGTACGGTATGTGGTACATGCTAGGTTGATAACTTACATTTGAGGTCTTAGAATACATTTGCAATTTGGGGATTTTTGTAAAAACAAAGGAAACTCTGGAGAATTTTCTGTAGAATTGGCAGAATTTAGGTTAACTTCAAGAGATCATATCTCCCTCCATAGAGGTCCGATAGAGACATGTCATAAGCCATTTTGAAGCTTGAGATGTCCTCTATCTTGCGGTAAATTTTGATAGAATTCTGGGTTGAAAGTCGGCCTGGAGAAGGCAAAGAGTACAGACTGCCCATTTGCTCACTGTACTTGTGGCGGTTCTGGACCGGTTTTGGGAAATTTATTCCCGCTTCGTTTCTTAGTCAAATTAAGTGTATGATATTTCAAATTGAAGATTGAGGTGTCTAGTTTGTTGTATAAAAATTTGAGATCAATTGGTTGAGTGTACTTGCTGCATTAATTTGTGGAGTGAGGGATGTTTGGAGCTGTTTTGGGGTTGGCTGGCAGTTTTGCTTGTCCAACTTCAAACAGCGATATCCGGAGCAAACGAGATCGAAATAACTTGTGTGATGGCTCATTAGAAATTTAATTAAGTCCCATAAAAGATACTAAAAGATGAGACAAAAAAGTAGAAAGTTGAGAGAATATAAATAAATATACCGAACCATGTTCGGATAGGTAGAAATCGTAAAATTGAGAAATTGGCTAAGTGGGTTTATAGGGACCCCTTAGTGACTTGTATTAAGTAAAATAAGATATAAAAATAGTTTAAACAAGTATTCCGCAAGATTTTACAGTTATGGTCACAGCTTTTATTTATTACGTTTTTTACGATTTTAAATCTCGCGTAATAAACGAAAAAAGTTTACTCGCATTTTTAATAAAGAAATTGCTGTGATTGTAACTGTGCTTAATATCATAATTACTGTCAACAATACCAGTGTACAACGGGCTGTTACAAGGAGCCTTGTACTGAGGGTTGTAGACGTATGTAATTCCTATCTTTTCTTATTCTCTGGCCAGTAGGATGCATACACACACGACATAGACATATGCTGCATTGCATGGATATCTGACATTATATTGTTATCATCGTTTTGAACTTATGTTGCACATGTAAGTGAGTTTGGGGTGGAGAGATCCTTAAGGACTATAACACCTCGCAATTCTAAATTAAGTATTAAAATATTAAGTGAGTAATTAAGTGAAGGATTAGTGAAAAATCCTGAAGATTAAGCCAAAATACAAAGAAAGGGCAAAACGGTAATTAGCCAACACGCAACCCTAGGAAGATAAAAATTGAGTAGAAGGTCTCAGATGGTAAAAATAACCCTGAAAATGGATTCAAAATGAAAAATTGAGTGGATAGGCAAGTTTCAGAAAAATCAGTGAATAGTGTTTTTACCGGGTCAAAATACTGCGGTACGATTGCACCGTAAAATGTGCTAGTTGAGTTTTGAGCTCTAGGTTTCAAATATGAGTTATAAATAGTCTATAGAACTAGGAAATATGATTTCTGATAATATTTGATGGAATTAAGTCAGTTTGGGGAAGCGTGCCAACGGCGCACGCAACAACTTAAAACAGTGTTTTCTCCGAACGACCGGAAAACTCCGGATTCATCTGATCAAGTATAATTAAAGGAGAATAGTTAATGTTAAAAATTAGAGTTTTTAAATAGGTTGTGAATTTACGGACGTTTAGTGAAAGTTCAGACGTGTTTTAAGTCGCGTGAGGTGGCGTGGAACCCACCCCACTTAAATCCCACTTAAGCCACATCATCTCCTCACTATTCACTCATCACTTTCACTTCTCTCTCTCCTTGGCCGTGCAACAGCCCCCTCCCCTTGCCATATCCACTTTGATTTTTCTTTTCCCTTAAACAACTCATTTCTTCATCAAATCCAACAAAATTTGTGTTGAAATTTGTTGTAAATGGCCTTCTAAACCCATTGGCACTAGTGGCAAGCCTTGAATCTAGCTAAATCTTGCGAAAATCCCTCCCTTTGGCCGTGGCTTGCTTGTGTAGATTCATGAACTTGGAGCTTCTAGGTGCTCCAATGGTGGAGTATAGTTAGGAGGAGCCTTGTACCTTCCATTTGGGTGAGTTTTCTTGCATTTTAAAAGGTTGAATGTGATGATGGATTCTTGAACCCTAAGCCTTGTACCTTCCAATTGGGAAAAGTTTGTACATGAAAGTGTCTTAGAATAATGTGTATTAGCTACAAATGCCATGAAAATTTTAGGTGAAAAATATGAATTTTAAACTTACAATATTTTTGAGGTGTCATGACTTGGATTTTGAAAAATGTGTTAAGATGTTATTGGGGAGTTGTTGGATGATTATATGTTGATATAATGGTATTGTATGAGGTGTGGAATGATTAAAATTGAGTGGGAATTCTTTGGAAATTCCAAGTGTGCAATTCGTTCATATAGAGAGCTTTAGGGAGTTGAGATTGTTTGTGTTGATTGGATGATATATCAAGTGTGGAATGGTATTAAAATGGGTTGTGTGGTGGTTGGAAAGTGGTAGAATCAATGAAAAATAATAAATTGTATTTAGGGTCACAAAGGAACCTAAAGTGAAGTATTTAGCAAAACGATGCTTAAAAGACGTAAAACGGAAAAACGACACTTGAATTAGCCTCTTGGCAACCTAAGGATGTGTAATAAAATGAGAAAAAAAATTTAGAAAAATAAATTTGAAAATTTTCCTTGTTTGGCCGAACCTTTCACTGAGAAGGAGGAGATTTTGACGTTTTTCGCGTTTGGATGGAATTGACGTATACTGATGGCTGTACATGGTTGTGTAGGTTGTCGTACGTCAATTTGAATCCCGAACCGTGAATCAATGGATTGCCCTTGGTCCTGGACCAAGTGGATTGAGGTAAGTGATTGGACCAATGCATGTATAATTGTGAATAAGCATGTGTTGTGTGAATTTTGAGTAATTGGGAATGTCCTCTGTGTAGGCATTCTGTTGAGTAACAAGTTTGGGAAATAAGCTGTTGTGGAACTAAGTGGAGGAACGTATTAAGGTAATCCCTTGGTACTGGGGCTTGTTCCCCTTGTGTGTTCCACTATACCCGTTGAGGGTGATGGTAGGAAATGTATATGAGTAGTGTAGAATATCGTGAGCATGCATGTAGTATTTATGAGGGTACATATGTATCGAGTCTCTGGCCAGTAGACAGTGTAGCCTTCGGGCAGTGCAGACTTCCACTGGATAGGTCTCCGAGTGGGAGTTCCAGTTGACCTAGGGTTGTGGTGTGTCATCCGGGTAGGAGCACACTAGGAAGTCTCGGGTGTATGTTGATGGAAGGGGTACCTTGGTTGTGGTTCTTGGAACACGCCTTGATGAGACCCGTAGGCTTATATGCCGAGGACGTTGCGTGGTATTGGTAGCTACCATCCCAGCTTCGTTGTATTTTATATCCCGATATTCCCCAGTTTCTCTAAATCTCTTGCTATATCCTGTTTTAAAAGTGGTTGTTTTATATTACTTATATGCATCGAAGTGAGCCATTGGACAGAGTTTTCTCCAGAACCTCTGGATTACTGAGATATATCCGTATATCTCACCCCCGTCTTGGGGGCTTTATTTCAGGAGGTAGCAGTGGCGTTGGAGCGGCGGGCAAGAAGCTCGCAGGATGATTACTGGAGCACTTTCATTATTTTGCATTTTGTTGGCCATGTAGCCTAGGCTAGACTTAGGGCATGAACATCTCATATGAATGTAGGATGAGTGTCATTGGCATATTTGTTCATGTCGTTTTGGCTAAGTCTAGTAGTTTATGTCATTTAAGCTTATGTTTAGAT